TCCAGTGCCGCGCTCTGTTCCCGTTTTCCTGCCATGGACATCGCTGTAGCCGCCCACCATTGCTGTACTCCCGGACCTCGAGGGAGCTTAAATATTACAGCTTCTTCTCCTGGGCTGAGGGCCTAGGTTGTGTACAGGTGGCACAGGGCCTTGGGGAGGTGGCAGCAGAGGAGGTGTCGGGGATGTGGAGCCAGACTCCTGCCATACCAGTTAGATATATATGTCTACACCATAGTTAGGAATATTTTAGCACTTTTCTTTTAGCACTAGTACCACCAACTAATAAATATTTGATTAGTACTATGTTTAAAGATTTTAAATTATGACTGTGAACTTAACTCGTAACAATTGTCAGGTTCATTGATAGAAGTTTTGATAAATGTAAACAATATGGTTTATATATATTTTTAAGTTTGATTATTTCTGTGAGAGAGAGGGATGTGGGGAGACGGACTACCCCAACATGGTCTTTATGTTGTGATCCACCCACATTTCAGCCAGCCTAGATCATGTGCGCGTTTGTGCCCTTTGTGGTCAGCGAGGTCCTGAGGCACAAACTTAAGACCTTTCCCATGTGAGTCCAGTTACTGCTCCACCTCTGTCTGGTCTTGGTTTATGTGATCTTTATAAACAGTGTATAAGTTTTCCTGTTTACCAAAGTCTTGGCTATTTATAATTCACTTTCCATGCCAGCTTTGAAATTTTAAAATAATCAGAATCAGTGTAAATACTTTGGATTTATTTTACATGTGAACTAGAAGAAAAATATAACCTTTTGTGTAAAATTGAGATAGACTGGAACTGGCAGGTGGCGTTGGGGGTTAAGGGCACTGGACTCCCACATGATTTGAGTCCCGGACCTGGCAGCTTGCTTTCTCACTTTCTCTCTCTCTTTCTCTCACTCACTCTGTCCCTCTGTGGTCAAATTAAAATAACTGAATGACTAAATAAATAAGTAAAATAATTCCTAAAAAAAAAAAAAAATCAAGATAGGCCAGTATGCCAGTACTAAAAATAAGGAACAGTGATAAGACTTCCCTTCTTGTCCCCCAAAAGTCTGCCCCCTTTGTCAGCTTTCCAAGTGGAACTACAGGTACACTGTCATGCCCAGCTTTATTTTATTTAACTAATGGATTTAAAAAAAAATAATAATAATTACTTCTGGGACCAGCAGTTAGTGTAATGGCTATGTTGTTGGACTCCTATGTAGTCTACTGTGGTTTGAGTCCCGGACTTGGTGGCTTAAAACGCCAGGTGCATGTGCATGTGTGCCCAAGATCCTGAGAAGAGATTGGAGGAGAAGGGATTGCAGTGTGGCCATCCCCCCGGGGGGTGTTTTCTCGCTTTCTGTCTCTCTGTCTCTGTCTGGTGAGTGCACGTGCCCTATAGCATAAACCTCTCCAAAAATAAACTTACTTCTATTATTATTTTAAAATTTGATATAAGGCACATGTGCTCACCAGAGAGAGGGGAAAAAAAAAAGCTGCCAGGTCCAGGACTCCAACTGTGCTTGGCCAAGTGGGAATCCAGCGCTCTAACCACCATACCTGACCTCTTCCCTCCTCCCCCTCAACTTAATTTTTTTATATCTGATCTTGCTCTTTGTTGTCCAGGGCAGTTTTGAGCTTATGATCCTTTTGCCTCAGCCTCTTGATTATAGGTATGCACCATTATGCCTGGCCTTTAGGTTGGACTGCGAATTGGACCCAGGCCTCCCTCCCATCAGTTCCCACCTGCAAAGTTGACTGTCTTAGCGACCTGGGCCACTGCAGATAGTACTTTTTTTGTGTGTGTTTTCTATAGTTTGTGCACTCGCCAGAGAGGGAATGTGAGAAAGCACCACCCCAGAGAGATGACCATACCACATCCCTTTTTTAGTCTCCCCTTGAGGTTTTGGGCATGCATAGACACACACCCAGTGTTTTTTCTAGCTGCCAAATCTGGGACTTAAACAGGAGTTGGCAATGGGAGATCTATTTGCCTTAATCCTGCCACCAACTGGTCCGGTTTTGGAGTTTTTAAAAGAAATTATGTAATTTTATTTATTTACTCTTATTTTTTTAAATTGCTATAAGGCACATGTGCTCACCAGACAGACAGAAAGAAAGAGATAGTGAGAAAACAAGCCTTCAGATCTGGGACTTGAACTATAGTCGGCCATAGGGGAGTCCAGTGCCTTATCTACCAGGCCATCTGCTGGCCCCAACTAGCTTGTGATTTTTTAAAAAATATTTTAACTGGGCCACCAGGTAGTGTGATGGTTAAGGCACTAGACTCCCATGACCGACCATAGTTTGCACTCGGATCTGGTGGCTTGAAAGTCATGCTGTGTGCATTTGCATGCATGCCCAAAATCCTGCAAGGAGAGTAGAGAAGGGGTTATGGCATGGCCATCCTCTGGGGGATGATTTCTCACTATTCCCTCTTAGTGTCTCTCTGGCAAAAAACTGAAAAAAATTTTTTTTGGCTACTGTTTACTAAGAAAATTCTACAACTTTTAGGGGAGAAGGTACCATTATGATATTTATGACATTATTTTGGCTTTTTAAAATAAACTGCCAGAGATCATGTGTACTCACCAGAGAGAGAGAGAGAGTGGGAGAAAGCACCCCTCAGTGTGGTGTGATCCTGCCAGTCTCTTCTTCATTCCTCTATCCTTTCAGGGTTTTTAGGCACATATACACACATGCTGGGCATGTTTTTCAAGTTGCCAGGACTAGGATTTGAACTGCTGTCATCCATGTGGGATCTAGCTCCCTGAATCAATACTAGGTAATGGGGGGGTGGCCCTGTTTTTTTTTTTTTTTTTTTTTTAAACATTTAGACAGTGATTTATATATAATGAGATACAGCACACACACCCAGAGTCTCTGAGTAAGGAGTTTTTCCTTTCCCACTGAGAAAGGATTAAACATTTGAAATACTGAATTTTGTATGAACACCAGCAACCTGGGGATCATGAAATATGTTCATGAAGATAAGCTGGAAACTTTTTGAGGGGCCAGTAGATGGCATAGAGGTTAAGGCTCTGGATCCTACATGGCTGACTATGTGGTTTGAATCTAGGATCCAGCGACCTGAAGAACATGTGGGACTTGTGTGTGTGCATGCCCTAAATCCAAGATAAGAATAGAGGAGAAGGGATTGCAACATGGCCATTTCCCCAGGGATTACATTTTTATGTTCCCTCTCACTTTCTTTGTATATCTCCAGAAAACACACATCCAATAGCAAAAATTAAAAAAAAAAAAAATTAAAAAAGCACTTTGAGAACATGTTAGGTATGTGTAAAAGGGCTCTGACATTGTTTAACTCTATATATGAGTGTCCATTTCTTTACATGTTAAATGAGTAAGGTGGAGTAGTCTTCTGTGAGTCTGTGAATCAGACAATTTTTTAACTTAATAGATTTTTATCTTGACCCATTTGGTAGAGTTTACTTTTTTTCTTTTTTTTAAAGAATGATTTTATTCAACTTTATTTTATTTAATATCTTATTTTAATTTGACCAGAGAGAGAGAGAAAAAGTGAGAAAGCAAGCTGCCAGGTCCAGTTCTTGAACCTCAGTCAGCCATGTGTGAGTCCAGTGCTCTCAGCCACCATACCACGGCCAGCCCCTAGATTTTACTCTTTTTTTTTTTTTTCGAGAGGTTTTTGCTCTAGGGTGTATTTGCTAGCCAGAAAGATAAAGACAGAGAGACAGAAAGCGAGATATCACCCCTTGTGGGGATGGCCACACCACAGTCCCTTTTCCTCCACTCTCCTCTGGGATCCTTGGCACGGTGTGAGTTAAAGCCGCCATGTCTGGGACTCAAACCGCGGTTGACTACATAGGAGTCCAGTGACATAGCCATTATGCCAACTGCTGGTCTCAAGATTTTACTTTTAATGTGTGTAAATTATTTGGATTTGTTTACTATCTTAGGGCCTGCTTACTTGGCTGCTTCAAAGAGCCTTTGCGGTTTTAAATTTTTGATTGGAAAAAGTGGAAAAGTAGGGCAGTCTGAATCCCAAAATGATGTAGCTACCCTATATATTATGATACAGAGTTAGGCTAAGTTTAGCCTTCCTCTCTGCCATCTGGGGACTTGAATTACCAGTCAAATGTTATTAAATGCCTTTTTAAAATAGTTTGCCATAGCTGCTATGCTCACTGGAGAGAGAGAGACAGAGAGTCAGAGAAAATGAGATATGCCCCCCCTCCCCCCTGCTCCCAGGGATGGCCATGCTGTCGACTCTTCTGCTCTTGGGATTTTGGGCATATACGCACATGTGTGTAGTGTGATTTTCAAGCCACTGGGTCCTGGACCTAGTGATTTTTTTTAAAGCCAGTTTTTATACTGTTATAGTTAGCTTACTCTTTAAACTATTATTAAGGAAATGTAGATGGAAAAATGTTTTCCATTGATTCATTGGTTAGCTATGTTTCTATTTTGTGATTGAAAATCTGGTTGATTTCAAAATAATTTTAGTTCTAACTTCAGATTGGTAATTCTAAGTTCAGAATTTTTTTTCCTTTTTAAAAAAATAATTATTTTATTTAACTTTATTATTATTTAAGTTGTGGGGGGAGAAAGTGAAAAAGCAAGCTGCCAGCCAGGTCCAGGACTCGAACCATGGATGGCAATGTGGGAGTCCAACACCTTTAACCACCACACTACCTTCTGGTCCCATGAGTTCAGAATTTTCTGTCCTTTTTCTGTGTGCTTTGCTGACTAATTGATCTGTTTACAGATGTGCTTTTAAATATAAATGGCTTACTGTTGACGTGTAATTAGCAAGGTTGTAGGATATTAAATGATGAGTGTGGCTAGATTTTTGGAAAGTAATTGATTATATTTTATAACTGTCTTCAGAGTATCTATTTGGTCAAAGTATTTATATTCTTTCAGGGTATGTTCATTAAAGTAAATATTTTAAATATTTATTGAAGTTATTTTTTTCCTGTTTAAATGATATCTGTATGTGGCAGTCACAAATTTAAACTTTAATTTTTACAGAAGAAGTACATATAACCACTTAAGCAGCTGGTTGACAGATGCAAGGAATCTCACGAATCCAAATACTGTAAGTTAAATCACATTATATTCAGAAAACTTACGATCTAAGCCAACCCCAAAGGGAAAGCCAATTGCTGGTGAGGTTTTTGTATTTGAGTATTAAAATTGAGTATTTAAAAAATATTCTTGAATCAATTGAAAAAAATTTTTTTCAGTTCTATTAATTACCCCAGGCTTTACATTTTTTTATACTTGGTTTTCATGTATGTGGTTTAAAAAAAATGGAAGTTATAAATGGGTGGTGATATTTTCAAGGGGAGACTATGACACCTGAAATTGTAATTTTAAAAAGGATCTGCATTAGTTTTATCATATGTTACCATTAGAGGAAATTGGTTAAAGTGTCTTAAGAGACCTCTGTATTATTTCTCACAGCAGCATATGAATCTATAATTACTTTAATAAAAATTACAATTAAAAATATTATTCTGCATGCTTTAAAAAATCTGCTTTTTAACCAGACTGGGAAGATGATTACTGGAATTTTAAGGTCCAGCCATGAAGCTAGGACTCTTCAGTATATGAAGAAGTATATAAAGATAAATGTTGGTCCTTAGTCTCAACAGATTATTGTCTAGTAGAAGAGAACCCACAGCTATCCATGTAACTGTGCTGCAAAGCAGATTGAAATATGAATTAGAAACAGAATGGGGGCCAGCAGGTGGTGTGGTGAAGGGCACTGGACTCCCACATGCCTGACTATGGTTTGAGCCCTAGACCTGGTGGCTTGATTTCTCACTTTGCCTCTTCTTGCTCTGTCTCACTCTGGCCAAATTTAAATAAATGTTAAATAAAATAATTCTTAAAAAAAAAAAAGAATGACTGGTGCAATACAGAGGGAGCCTGGGAAGAGTAGTGCCATCTGGAGAAACCAGCTTTACAGTGGAGTGGGGTTTACACTGGGCCTTGAGGGGTAAGTTTTCAGTAGATGCTGTTGAGGGTGTTTCAGGGACAGTGTGAGGAATGGCACAGAGCTGTAACTGACTCAGTTCCTCAGGAACAAGACCTGTGTCTCATTTAACTGTGTCGCACCCCCAGTATCTAGCTGAAGCCTGGTTCAGGAAACGTGTCATCAGTGGTAAGATTTGGTCTTTATTGGGGAACAGCAATTTATAGTAAGATTCTTTTAACATTGCATGTCTGTTATGTTAGGGACTGTGCCTAGAGCTTTCATTTCCTTTGTCCTGTTAAACCCACTGTAGGTGTGCATACAGACCTTTGGGTAGATGAATGTTCCTAGCAGCTTTATTCACAGTAGGCAGAAACTGAACAACCCAGCTGGCTATTGACATGAATGGTTACACAGTCTCGTATCCATACTGTGGAAACCTAGTTGATCATACGTAGGTATCAGTTAATGATAAATCTTAACACCTTAGATGGATCCCATTGGCATTATGCTGAGTAAATGAATGCCAATCTCAAAAGGTTACATACTGTATGATTTAATTTATGAAGCAATCGCAGAATGACCAAATTGGAGAGATGGAGAACTGCTTGTCAGGGCTTAGTGATGGGTATGGGGAGGGAGTGATGTGACTATAAAGAGGGCAGCACAGAGTGATGTCTTTGTAGTGGAGAACAGTTTTATATGCTGATTGTGATGATGCAAATCTGTACTTGTGATAAAATTGCATGGAACCACAACCCCCACCCCCTCCAGCGTGTACTGAACATGTAAAAACTGAGATCTGAGTTAGGGCTATAGATCATACCATTGTCAGTTTCCTGGTTTTGAGAGTGTGCTATAGTTTAGGTAACTTCCTATTCCTACCACCAAAGAATGTTGGTAAAAAGTATGCAGAACCTCTCTATTATTTTCGGTAAGCTTCTGGGAATCTGTGGTTATTTCAGGTAAAGCATTAAAAGCAAAACTCATTGTAGGGGGTCTGTGGAAAACTATAAGAAAATTAGCAGTGTTCTTCCTGCCTCATGCCCTTTGAAAGCTAGCTAAATCTTCAGAAGAAAAAAAATACTTAAGGTCTTGTGCAAATGTTACATATTCTTTTATTTATTTTTTTCAGTTTTTAAATTTTTAAATTCTTTAAGTTTGCCCTAGGGAGGGAGAGTGTGAGGGAAAGTGAGAAACCACCCCCAAGGGAGGATGACCATGCCACAGTCTGTTCTCCATTCTCCTCTTGGGATTTTGGGCACAAACGCCTATGTGCCAGTGTGTTTCAAGCTGCCAGGTCTGGGGCTTGAACAGCTGTCATCCATGTGAGATGCAGTACCTTAACCTCCATGGCACCTGCTGTCCCCAAATGTTACATTTTCTATAAAGTTGCCTTTGATTTCTATGTAGAAGTTACATAATTTCTTATTTTGTTACTGGTATGGTTTACACTTCCTTGTTACTGGCTTACCACTGTGTTTTCCCTTTCAGGGAGATAGGAATTCAGGTTTGGAAATACATGAGGAGTGAGAAAAGGCAATTTTTTGTTTTGAGTACCTGTTTTATAATTTTTAAAGAATTATTTAATTGTATTTATTATTATTATTATTATTATCATCATTAATTTGACCAGAGAGGGAGGGAGAGGGAAAGTCAGAAAGCAAGCTGCCAATTCTGGGACTCGAACCATGGGTAGCATCGTGGGAGTCCAGCGTGTTAACCACCGTGCCACCTGCTGACCCCTGGACTTGATATTTTAAAAATCAATTTGCTTTTTTTCATTAAAGAATTATTTTATTTATTTACTTATTTTCATTTTACCAGAGAGGGACAGAGAGAGAGAGGGAAAGTGAGAAAGCAAGCTGCCAGGTCTGGGACTCGAACCATGGTCAGCCATGTGGGAGTCTGGTGCCCTTAACCACCATGCCACCTGCTAGCCCCCAAAATTGATTTTCTTAATTTTTAAAAATTATTTTATTTAACTTTATTACTATTAATAATAATTTTTCAGTTTGATCAGAGAGAGACAGAGAAAGAGAGAGGGAAAGTGAGAAAGAAAGTTACTAGGTCCAGTACTTGATCTGTGGTCAGCCATATGGGAGTCTAGTGCCTTCAACCACCACGCCACCTGCGGGCCGCATGTTACTGTATTCTTCAGAAGACTAGTGAGCTAT